ATATATATAGTAGCACAATAGAGATAATACATATTTTGCCGTTATTTTTCAGATGGTGAACGAAGAAGAAGCAGCAGTAAGTCAACTAATTCTTCATTTTAGTGGATTTAAGGATTCAATTTTGATTTTCCTTTAAATTTCATAGGACTTAACAGCACAAAATTTTAAAAATTCAAAATTAGTTTTAAATCAAATTTGGACAGATTTCTAGATAAGTAGTGAAATTAAATAATAATTAACAATCTTTTATACACCAACTAATGATTGCTGTTTACTCTGTCTCATAGTATATACCTGAATATGTAAAATATAAGATATTCAAAAAGTCAGAAAATTAGAGATGATGCATAATAGTTTTGTGAAGAGTACATTCATAATGTTCGTATTTTCTTGATTTAACATTTTCATGCAAACAATATCGTACGGTTCTTTGTTTATGTGCATTTTACAAATTTCGTTAAGTTTAAATAAAAAAAAGGTACAATTTTAAGAAAAACGATAAAACGTACAATATTAAATATTATTATTTAAGCAATTTCAGTAATACAAATTTTTAACGAAATAAACTATTTTTGAAATAAAAATTTTAAAAAATACTCTCCCGTATTTCTCACATTGACAGCATACAAAAACTTTAAAGTTGTCTTTTAAAGTTGCTGTAGTATGAAACAGTAAACAAAAATTTTATCTAGTTTTGAATAAAATTTAATTGAGCAAACAAAAACACGACCCCTTACATTAGATAGTAAAAATTTTAAGAGAAGCAAAAAAAAAAAAAAATTTACTGAAACATGTGCTAATTCTCATCAAACAAAAATTAGAACGGATCAAGATCCAGAAATTAAACACGTCGTTATTTTTTTTTTCTGTTTTAAATTATCTATTGTTCCAGATAAATAGAAACCATACAAACATGACTTTTAGTATACACTAATTCAGCCGTTCCCAAAAGGTATTCCACGGCTAGGGTACCGCGGGAAAGTTACAGGGGTTCCGAGAACTAGAACTTTTTCATAGGGTTTTTTATTACATTTTCAAAACCTGCAATTACATTTAGATTCTATCAATATTACACTATATATTTATAAATTTGATTGCCTTTACTAAATTATTTAAAGTAAACTGTTAATAAAAAAAGAATGGCGAAGTTGCTTTCATTAAGAAAATATAATTTTTTAATAACAATATATTGAATAAAGTATGAAAAAGACAGACTTGATAAAACTTGAAATAGTGTTTCCCATAGCGCTTTTCAAATCAAAATAACTAAATTTGTTAATAAAGAATTATGCGTCCCTCATAAAGTTTTCAATGTTTATTGCAATTATTTTTAGTTTTAATTTCAATGAAAATCATGATTCGACTTATATAATTTATTTTCAGCTTATGTATAAACACCAAAATTAAATTCATAACTAGACTCTATTCAGCTCCTGGACTGTCGGATATAAAACATAATTTAAGATTAATGATAAGACAATAAAAGAATTTCCCTCCTCTTACTTTATAACCGTGGTTGAACAGACAGCCCAATTTTGTTAATTTACGACTACTAATGTTCAACTTTGTAGTCTTGAAATTTTGAACCCACTCCAGAAGACAAGGGAACTAGATCAAGTATCGGAATTGATTTGCCTTCATAGAGGACATTTTGATGTAATTAACCTGCATTTCAGTTATATGGAGTGGAGAACCACGAAAACCTCCTAGGGTTAGCCTAACAGCAAGAAGATTCTAACCCATGATCCATCTATCACTGAAGAATATTTGACGTCAGCACTGTGGTCTGTGTAAGCCGGGTGAGGAATTCGTATCGACCTGTCATCACTGAGATTCGAACCCGGGACATCTCATTGTGATGCGAGTGTTCTTGCTTAATACGTTCACAAATGTCTTGATATTCTTTGTTTATAATGTCAGGATTCCGTCGAAAGATAGTTGGCCATTTAGGGTTCCATAGCCTAAAAACAATTTCTACCGATACTCTAATTTATTAATGAATTCCTCCTTTAAGAAATGTTTTATTGCAGTTAAATAAATTTAGTTGTAACTGTTTTCAAATTTTTTACAACTTATATTTTTTTTTCAATTAATTTTAGAAATGTTTAGCAGAAGTGTTCCAAAGATATCCTCTCAACATGAATCCAGAAACAGAAAGTTCTGAAGAATAAATACATTTGTTTTTGTTTCTAAATTGGTGATATTATAGATACTTTTAGCACACTGTTTTATAAAAAATGTGTTAGTAGTGCTGCAAAAAGAAAATAAATTACTATAGCATTAAGACCCAAATAATGTGTGTATGTAATTGTAGATAAAATATTAGAATGGGTAAAAATAAATTTATTTTTAAAAGCATTTAGTTCTACTTTCTGTTGTCTGAGCCTTTTGATTCATCACTCTTTTTGTAAAAAAAAAACATTCTCAACTTTCTCTCCACTTTTTTGAGAACTATTAAACTAAAGAGACCTGAAACTGGTACAATCTAATGAAAATTTAAGTACTGCCTTATTCAAGAAAATAACATTTTAAACAAAATTTCGATATTTAATAGAGTTTGTTTTCTTTTTCGTCTCTTCAAGATAAGCAATTACATTCGTTCAAAATGCATATTAAATTAAATTTTCTTTATCACTAAAAGTATTCAATTATTATTTTTACTCTACACAATACGGGAGTTTGAATCCAGAAGACTCCCCGTGAAGTGAATGGTGAATGTTAAATCTGTTAGGTTACAAAGACCTCCATATTCCCATAACAAATCAATACCCCTCTGGAGGTACTGAATTAGAGAATGATTGATCATTCTCTGTTCAGGTCCAAATTACGATCTGTGGATGAATGAATGGACGTATGAATGGGTTAACCCAATAAACGGGTGTGACGTATGGGTGAGACAGAAGTCGAATTCTTGGCCACACTGGCGGATCCAGCGGGGGGGGTCATAGGAGTCATGACCACCTCCCCAAATCGAAAAAAAAAATTTTAATAGTTTACAAAAGAAATAAAATATTTTAACAATTATTTAAAGGGCCATATACACCTAGGTAGGTGTATATTTTTTCGTGTAATTATGCTCTTCACTAATAACTCTGCCAGTTAGTGCAGCAACCGCAGAACGTTCCTTTTCAACTCTTCGACGTCTCAAAACTTGGCTTAGAGCAACTCAAACGCAAAAACAATTAAATTGACTCGCATTATTAAACATTCATCGAGAAATTGATTTGGAAGTTGAAAAAAATCGACAGATTTGCCTAAGTTTCTAAAAAACGCATTACATCTATTATTTAAAGATTTTGAATACTTGAATTATTTATGCATCGTTCTATTGTTCATTATGAAAAAAATAAATGAGAAGACTAGCATTAAGAGCTCCAGTTTTTTTTTTTTTTTTCAAAAAAAAATAGTTGAAAAAAATTTTTTTTACCCTGCTTGGTCGTAGATGGCATCCCCTCTGCCTTAATGGCCGACAACAACGACAGCAACTCAACACAATTTTTTGATATAACTTAAAAAAATGTGTAGTAAACTTATAACTTGGATTTTTAAGATGTTTCCTTATTACGCAAATGAAATTTTCATTTACATTTTCGTACTTAAAATTATTTACGTTTTTTTAAGAGTAAAGCTTTTTTCGCCTCTGTAGTTTCCATGCCATGCACCTATCCTGAGTTAGCAAATAGAAGTAAGGATACTATCTGCTTCACTTAAGCTAGAAAAGAAAGCAAGATAACTTAATTAAAACTTTAATTAGTTAATGTCAATTTCATGAGTATGATTGAACAACGTATAGCAGTATTAGTTAATTTTGATTTGGACGGAAATGTGTCTTTGATAGGTAAACTTACAGCTAAGCAATGATCTAGAAAAAATAAAATGAATTTAATAAAACAAAAATGGAGCAGGAAATTCCGATAGTTAGTGAACTTAAAGAAGAGCCACTTATTAATATCTGACGTGCACGTTTGGTGCACACCAGACAGTTTAACCATTCTTGTTCCAGTAGAAGATCTTTTAGAATAACTGTGTCAAAAAAACTACTGCACAAAACTCTCCTAGTCCTTTTGAAGGATGTAGAAGACAGCTTATGACATAAGAGTAGTACTCTCCTTTTACAGAGCAAAGAATATAACCTATCAGAGCACCTTTTAATACCGATTATCAGTTCAGCTTACTTATCCTGAATTGAGTTTTATACAGCAGTCTCCACTTAATGTGGTCACTTTGGAGCACAATGGTTTTGATAACATTAACCGATTGATAACAATAAACGAATAACGAAATTAAGCATGTTTACCAATTTAAGCTTATCTAGATACTGGGTTTGAAAATAAACTGAAGAAAAAAACTAATCATTTTATTTTTGTACCGTATGTTTCTTTCAGAATATAAAAAATAATATAGTATTCATAATAAAAACAATCACCAATTGTTGATTGTCTACTAATTTTTCTAAAAAACTCATTTATAAACTATTTGTAATCAAAACGTTTTTTAAAGAAGTCATGGGAGCGTTATTGCACTTCATCTTTCAACAGAAGCTAAACATTCAAGTAGAGATTGAGAAGTGTTTAACTCTGCTGGAGCATTGAATAGGAGTACAATAACTAATAGCATTGATGTAATGATCACAGAAAGCTATCATTTTAACATGTTAATAAATAGAGAAAATACAGAATGAGGGATTTTAATAACAATAATCGATTGATTACAGTAACTGCGATCACATTCAGTGAAGACTACTATACCTTCGAAAAGCAACACCATAATAAATTAACCAAAGAAACAATTTATTGAATCCATAAAACTTTATTTTGCACTCGCTCAAAATAAGAACATAAAAGACAAATGATGCACACGAACACACAACGTTTTTCATTACAATTATTTCGTTTTTCTTCAATCAAGCAACCTATAATACACAACACATACAACTGTACATTTTGTGCAATACATAAAACAACAATATTCACAATAAATTTATCTTAAGAAAAAATTAACATTTGCAGCAACAGGCATATATACAGCAAACACATATAGCATAAACAAAGATTATACGCGAAAGTTGGTGCTCTTCAGAAGAGCCAATTGAAATGTATACACAATAAAGAACTCACTAACAATATAATGCTACTTTAAAGCATTTTTTAAGTTAAAAAAATCACTTTTATAGAACTTTTGTTAATACTAATGCAAATTTATGCATTAATTTTGGTGCATCAAAATATAAGGCACAATCTGATATAAAAGTATCTTGACTCCAATGTTAATTTTGAGCGTATTGACTTATAAATAGTAAAAATTTAAAATTTACAATATTTCTAGACATGTTTTGGAAAGAGAAGTTATAAAAAATAATTTTGGCATTATTTTTGAAATGCAATAAAATTGTGTCGATCAAAAAAAAAAATGATAACTCAAGTCAATCACTTTGACAATTTATGGTAGAATTAATTATCCAATTTTCATTTTGAACACTTAAAAAAGAAAATTTTTGTTAGCATACTTTGCAGAAGAATTAATATTTTTTCAGCATAGAGCGCAATATATACAATACCTTCAGAAACTTTAACTATTCATTTAGAAATTCAACGAGATCAGAACACATAAAGTTACATGAATATTCATGAGAGATTTTTTTGACAGTACATACATTTACCTACTTTTAACTGCACACAAGGAATTATAAATATTTTTATGGTGGAATAAGTATTGAAATTAAGTTGAAAATTATTAAGACATATATGGGATGGTGGACAAAAATACTGATAACTGTAGGAGGAAGAAGAAACTAAGCCCTGAAGTAGAAAATAGTTTTAAAACAAATTGATATTTACAAGTTAATTGGAAGATTAATATTATTACATTTAATAAAGATATGGGTTTAAAGATACAAGTTTAACTACTTGATCTACATTTAAAAATAAGACATTAAAAGATAATTGCTTATTGCTTGAATAAAAGAACATGATATAATTTGCAATGTAAGTTCAAAAAGAATTACAATAAACCTATTTCAAATATATATATAAACCAATATTTATAAACAAATTCAAAAGATCACAATAATAAAAATGAAACAAAATTTCTCAAATAAGTAAACTAATCTTAACATTTAGATTTTATCGAATTCAAGTGGTATAGATTATTCATGTGCAACTATTAGACTTTGAAATCATATAACTATTTGAAATAAACTATATGCTCAGTAAAAAATTAAAAGAGAATGAGAAAAACATTAGAAGTTGTTTAAGTTAGAAAATAGAAATAGATTTATTTTAAAAATATTACGATAACATAGGTACTACTATAAAAATACTAACTATTGTCTAAATCCAAAAAATTATCAGCAAGGGTAACCTTATAAAAAAAAATTGTATTTCTAAACAATTGTATTTCGAAAGTAACATTAATTGTTATACATATATGAATATTCTGCTATTTGATATTATATACATTGCCTAATACTATACTAAACTTATATATTAAACTGACTATTTAATAAAATTTCATTAAAAAATTTTATAATGTTTGGATAAATAATCTGGTATTAAAAAAGTAACCTTGCTATGAAATTTAATGATGTAATAATAGGATTTTTAAAATAAAATAGGAGAGATAAAACAAAATTAAATTAAAATGGAGAGGTATCAAAGCTAATATACAGAGTTTTTTTTTGTTTTTTTTCCATAATAAAAAAACACAAATGCAACAAATATTTAGTTCATAATCAAGTAAAAAAGTTCGAGGAACATGAAAAATAATGTAATCAAAAATAACTTGCAAATATACAATAAGGGAAGACCATACGAGTTTTCAAGAACATACAATACAATATAATAAATATGTAGCCAAGTTTATTGCGAAAAAGTATATAGAAAAGTTTATGAAAAATGGCATGTAAAGTTATTAATAGCAAATTGATGGCAAGAAATACTTATTTAAAAAAGTATTGTTTGAAAATTATCAGTAAGTTTTTTAACAAAAACTTGACTTTTATATACTTATCAAAAATGTTAGAAAATTGAAAGTGAAAAATTGTGATATCTATGACGATTATTGAGGAATGGCAGGCTTGAAGCTTCATGTAAATTAGATTAAAAAGTTCAAGTTTATATAGGCATATAAAAAAAATTTCAAAAGAATTTCTCAAACTTGGATAGGAAAAAAATCCCTGATATATGTACACAACTGTTTTTATAAAAAAAATGACAAATATCAAAGATAAAAAAGTCATATGAAAGCAATGATTCCTTACTAGTTTAAGTTTGTGCAAATAACATTTTTCTCAAACTTTGAATTGTACTAAGTATTTAATAATTCCATAATAAATTATTTATTTTCAAAGATTTTAAACAAGACACAATCAAATTTACCACACAAAAAATTTCTATGATGCTTCTAGACTCAAATTATTATTGATTGTTATTTTTTTTGAGGGAAGGAAGTAATATAAATCTGAGCAAGCAATATAAAATTTTAGTGATAAGTGGCACTAGAATCCAGACATCCTAAATTCTTAGGAACTTATATGCTAATGCCATTCAGATGCTTCATATCATAGAAAAAAAAATTGGCATTTGGTCAGAAAATAAACTTGTTACATATAAGCCATTAGATAAAAATTAATTTTAAAAAAAAATTTACCTCAAATTTAAAATAAAAATAACTATTTAAAAGTAATGATTGCCAAGTAAGCAATGTTTTAATAAATGCATACACAGCAATGAAACTTTTTACATGGCTAGCTCTATTGGAAGTTACACTAATAATAACTCCACTTAAAAATGTACAAATACTAAAATATTATTGCAATACTTTTGAGCTATGAACATAAAAATGCACTTTATATATAAAAAGCTTTGTTCTTGTGGAAAACTTAAAAAAGACTATAACATCTAGGCACACAAGGTGGAACAAATATTAATTACAGCACACTAACTACATGGCAATAAAAATTATGAAATGTTATCACAGTGATACATTGAACCACACATGAACTGATTAAGTTAAGTGAAAGGATCATGCACGCTTAACAGGATATGTGTGGTTTGTTAATATCTCTAAAATAAAAGTATCTCTGAAAAATATTTTGTTTTTAAAAATTATATACAAATAAAAGAGATGAACAAATTATGATGATGAGGTAAGCAAGGTGAGGATCAATTGCAAACATGATGATCATATGCACAAGATAATTAGCTGTAAAAGGCATCAAACACACATTTCTTGATATGCCTAATTAATTACAAAAACTTATATAAATATTAATCTTATATATTCCTGATAAAAATGGAAATTTTGGTCTCACATTTATTTCCTTTTTTATCAAGATGTATAAGATAAAAAGGAAAATAATAAAAATTCTTGATAAATAATTTTAAAAAAACTCTAGATAAAAAGAAACATTTATTCCCTGACTGTATGCAAATTATTATGAAATTATTTCCTGACAACAATCTCGATCTTAAATTATTTTCCGTGGACCCGCTTTGTATGTTATACAACGCATTAAAAAACAATGGTAAACAAATTCCTTTATAGTTAACTTAGAAACAAAAATAAAATGTAATCATGAAAATGTTTTACAAAATTAGATTACTTTCAAATATTGTCAAAGAGATACTCAAAATTTAATTTATTAGAGTAATGTGTAAAACTTATTTCATTAAGCAATTTAAAATATTGAATCATAGTTTTTTATGATAATATTTAAACATTATTTCAAGACTAAGGAGAAAGATTTTGAAAAATTACAATAAAAGGAGAGTTAACTATCATTAATATTACCATTTTGCTATTGTTAAACTATCATACTGTTAATTGATTTTAAATATTAAGAGAATCAAATAAATTGATTCCTAAAAATTTTTTAACTCAATTATAATGCCCAATATGTATTTCTGCCAATGAAATTTTTTATTGGGTCATTAAAACCTCAATTAATGCAGACAAAAATTTACATATCTAGAAAATACATACTTACAAGTTTCTACTGTTAAAATACCAATTTCATGCTAAAAGAAATTTTGAACACTAAATATAAAAGCTAAATAAAAAGTTAAAGCTTGATTTTGTGCATTTGAAGCATCAGTCGCAGATTATCCTACAGCTAGCCACTCAAGTTTCAATGTAAAAGTAAATACTTTGAAAAAAATGACCTTTGAAAAATGTTCTTGAAAAATGATGAAAATAAAGTCAAAATTTCACCTAACAAATGAAGATGCTAAAGAAGTGCCTTGCTTTTGAGGAAATTTGCCATTTGGTCCCAGCCTACACAGTTCATTGGTATCTTTGGAACGTTCAAACATTGCAACCTTGTCCCTTATGTCAGTTGGTGGCATAGAAAGCCACTTACGACTGTCCTCGTACGATCGAGCAGACTTTCTCCCGGAAAATTTTTGTGACCGTAAACAATCCTCGGATGACAAGTCTTTTGAAACATTCTTAGGGAATTTAGGAGAAAAACTAAAAGATTCTAGTCCACTGTCAGTCCCAGATGAGATTTCTGATATAACAGCAGCAGGAGAGACACAAGTTCCCCTGCTACTTTCAAGTGAAGAGTCTAAATCACAGGTAGTGCCAGTTTCAGTTATGCTGGCACTGTCCGTCTCCACTGCTTTATCACTTTTCTTTACATCATCTTGACCTTCAATGCAGGAAAGCTTTGAGTTTTCTTTCCTCAATCGGAATTTCGTTTGGACTTTTTCTTTCTCCTCTGCTTCCATACGAAAACTTTCCTGTTTCAGCTTTTCCCTTAATTGAGCTCTTCTTTCTTCCTTGATTCGATTAATTCGCTCTCGGCGAACTGCCTCGCTTTCGGGGCTACCCTCATTCACTTTGGAACTCAACTGAAAATTATCCATTTCATTAACTGAACATGGTTTATCTACTTGATTTTGATTAGAAGATTGATTACCAGGGCTCACTTGAACTACTTTTAAATCGTCAGGAATAACAGAATTCACAGATTCAGTTTCACATGCAAGAAGAGAGTCATCCGCAATTTCATGTTTAGTAACTTTTTCTAAGGAGTCCACTTCATTTTCTTCCTCAATGCTGCTATCAGATTGTTCATCCTGATTTGAATCTTTTGTAGGTAAATAAGTTATAATTGGATGATAATCTTCTTGCATATCTAATATTGGATCTGACCAAGGATCAACTGGCTCAGAATTAATAGGACTGCTTTCAGCTTGCAAAGACTGAAGTTTTCGTATTTTTAACTGAGTGAATAAACTAGGTTGTTGAACATTTCTATTGTTTTTAGGAGTTACTTTTTCAGAATTTGATTGACCTTTTGATACTTTGTTAATGTTTTCACCTTCATATTTATCTGATAATCGTTTAAATATCCCAGGAGGAGGACTGGTACTAACTTGCTTAGGAGGAGGTTCTGAGTGACGTTTCAACAGAATACTTTCTTTAGGTGGACTACTTTTTGTTTGGCTATCAACATAAGGAACTTCTAATGGTTGGCTAATAGCCATTGGTTCTGATGGTTCAAAAGTTTTAACAAGCTTAGATGGCAGTTCCCTGGAGCGAAATTTTATTTCAGATGAAGGCTCAACATTTTTAGAAGTGGCTGAGGCCTTAAGTTCAAATTTCTTTCTCACTTCTTCCACAGGGGAAGATGGAGATGGTATGTTAAAAAGTTTCTTTTTATGAGAGGGAACGATTTCAATTTTAGTTTTTAAAGGCTGCAATTCTTGCAGCTTTAAGCTCTTTGGGGGATAAATCGGTGAAGGCGGCATTTTAATACTGAAAGATTCTAAGTTTTCTGTTACTACTTCGTCCTTTTGAACAACTGCAGACCTTTGAATTGTTGATATTACATCAGAAGATCTTTCACTCTCTTTCGAAATTGAAGAATCGTTTATATTTTCAGCCTGGCTAGGCACATTTTGAAGATCCAGATGATCATTGGGAGATAAACTAACAGTTATATCATCAAGGTGAGGTTCACTACTATCCATCTCATCAAGATTCAGACCAGAATATGAGCCGTCTGGTTCTTTAATTTCCCTTGTAAAGGTTTCATTGGGATTTACCTCATGTTCTATATCTGTAACTGGCAAAATCACATCTTCTTCATCAGATAGATGAAACTGGAGCTCTTGAATTTCCGTTTCATCAGAATTTAATGGTCTCAATTTGTATCCAGAAACTCTGCCACTGTCGAATGAATCGATGGCCGGTTCACCAAAAGAGCAAAATACACTGTCTAAATTGAGAGGTGCCTTTGGTGAATACTGTTGATCTTCTTCAGAGGAACTGTCTTGAGTTGCATGTACTTCTACTAGTACAGTTTCAGCATTTCCATATCGTTCTACAACTGTTCGATCAGAGGGCTCGTTCTCAGTGTCTGTTGACGATACTAGGGATAATCTCTTATTTTTAGCAGTTTCATAAAACTCCATGGGATCAAGAGTCAAGTCTTCTTGATTCATCTGCATACAATTTTGATACTTATCATTGTGGTCATCCCAACCATAATCATTTGACCTAAAAAATTGTTGGTTATAATCCTCTTCTGGAGAAGCATCCAAAAAGACACGAGTTTCGTTATTAGCAAAGTCTTCATTTAGTTTCTGATATTTCACTTGAGCAAAATCTTCAACAGAAGTTAGCTTTTGCTTACGAGAAAATTTTTCAGATAAACTTGGAGGACTTTTGGAGAATTCTTTGGAATAAGTTCTATTTAAAACAGAAAGATCTTCGCAACTTTTCATGGAAACAGAATCTACTTTCTTGTCTTTCTCTGAGTTCCATGAAGAATCTTGTAGCATTTTCATTTGTTGGCTCACATAATAAAACAAACCATGCTCATCTTCTTCAAAAGATGGCTCAGAAATAATATCCATGCTATTACTTTCAAAATAGGACTCATGAGAACTAGATCGAGTATGCTTTTGTAGACCAGGAGATTTTGAAAGTGGTGACAGTTCCAAAGAATTTGAAGAGTCCACTGATACTTGTGGTGATGACTTTCTACTATGTTCTCCTGTAAAATACAAAATATTTCGTATTTATAAAATCAGTTTTATACATTTAAATTATATGAAAATGCTATAAATTAAATATTTTAAATCAAATAAAATCATTTGAGACTTAACTGTTTAAATGTCAAGATCAATTTGTCATATAACATTAAGACCAATTTAATGTGAAAGCCAAACAGAAAAAGAGTTTAAAATAGAAACGTTCTTAATAAACAGACCTAAAATTTCAATTAAAGTACATGTAACATATACTATTAAAACATTAAACAAAATTTCATGATGCACTTGACAATTATTATAATAATTTTGCATTACATTAAATTTATTCCTTTATAAATTGATTTCTATTACATTAAAGTTTATTAAAAAGAAAACAAGAAATAATTGTTAAATACAAAGCCTGCAAATAGAAAAAAAAGTGCCTTAACTCTTACATAAAATTAACTTGATAGTTTCATTATATTATTAAAAATCATTGTTATTAAAAAATTAAACTGAATTTGTCTAATATATGTCATTTAAAATTTGCTAAATTTATATGTATAACTTAAACAGGGAAATAATAATGAATAAAGCATAAAGTATTACTTTTAAAATACATACACGTATATAACATGATATTTGGCAAGTATTAGATATTTCTAAAAGAGTAATACTTTTAAACTTATTTTAGGCTCACAAGCCCTAAAATGCAAAACAGGAGTCTGATGTTAACACGAGTCGAGTATGATTTATGAGTTTCGTTACTAAGTATTTAAATTATTTATAGAATGCACCTTCTTCTACATGAAATAAAAGTTGAAATCTGAATGTACTTATTTATTTTAAAAAATCAAAGATACCTAAAAAACTAGTTTGCACGTTTGCATCACTAAACACTTCAGAAATGGTTTAACAGAATTTTCAACCTATGGACAGCACCAAACTTAACCAATACTATCTTCAAGATAACATAATCAAAAAGTGTTATAAATAGGGCCCTATAAATTATGCAAAGATGCGGAAACCCGCATAATTTACAATTTTCTGCGTAATCGCAGCATATCTGTATAATTTTTATTTTTCAGAAAAATGTATTTGTTTACCAGATAAATTTCTCCTTAAAGGTTTTTTTTCAATTGAAATATATCTTCTTTTTCAATTTAGCTAAACTTTGCTTCAATAGTTAAACTTTCAATTTAGCTTTTTTCAGCTAAACTTTGCCCAGTACCAATAAAGACACGGTGGAATTCCTGGTTTAAATCAGTGCAATATCATGCTGAATATTGTAATGTTTACATAGAATTTTTTAGCAGTGAAATAAACCTTACTCCTGACACAGCTTGTCTCGATCAGTGCAAAGTTTTGGTGGAAAGCAAGTACGTTTGCAAAGACTTTCAGTTCACTGCAGAACACGCTCAAATATATGGATACTCTTCTCTTTTTCGAAACATGTGGTGTATCTATTCACAAAGATTACAATAAGATTTTTGATCTGCTGTCTAAACTTCGATGTAATTCTCAGGCATTATACTCACGAAAAGATTCACGCAACGTATTTCTTCAAGAAGTGTTTCACAAAACAATTGCAAAGTTGAATACTTACTACTCTCCAGAACTAGACGTATTCAAAAAACGCGGGCCCAAGTTTAGGCAACCTGCATTAAACGTCATGAAAGCTGCTCGAGTTTTCGATCCAGAGCAAATAGTCAACCTCAATATTGAAGACGACAATGTATTCAAGAATATTCCAGGAATGAGTGGTCAAGATATAAAACTCGAGTATGCTGCTTACAAAGAATATGTAAAAGAATTTTCAAACCAGGACTTAATTAGATTCTGAAATTCAGAGGTAGTCTCAGAGAGATTTCCAGAACTTACAAAAAAAGCAAGACAAGTGCTCTCAGTGCTTCCTAATTCAGTAGATTGTGAAAGAGCTTTATCCTACTACGGCCAAATTTTTACAAAACAAAGACAGATTTTGAAAGAAAACGCAGCTTCTGGACTAACTTCTCTCCATTTTAATAAAATTTAATAATTGTTCTGATGTAGAAAATGGATGTACAATACATAAGAAGGTAATTTAGTTGAAATCTTTACTGTATTCATTGAAAAAAAAATTTTTAAAACAGGAAAGAAAGTTGAACTTCTTTAAGAGATTTTTTTTTTTCAGTTTCAATTTCTGGGTCATTTGCAACCTGTATGCATAATTTTTAAAAGACACCGCATCCTTGCCGCATAATTTTTAAAAATCGCCGCATCCTAGCCGCATAATTTTTTAAAAATTTACACATAATTTATAGGACCCTAGTTATAAACAAAGTATGTCACTATTTTATCTGATCTATTTTATCCACATAAAGAATATAATCCTTGGTCTGGATGAAGCATTATAATACATGCACTGGTACAAGAGACAATTAGGCAGAGAAATAAGAATGTGAAAATATAACTTGCCAGGGAAATCATCTTTATTTGTACTATGGGATGAGGATTCCTTCAGGCAATGAGCAAGAGATTCTGCACTTTTAACAGTCCTTAACTTTTTTCGGTGGTTATATGGTGCATCAGTTTCAACAGGTTTGTCCTAAGAAACAAAGTAAAGGTTAAAAAAATAATAATCACTATTAAAATTTTTAAGAAAATAAAACTAATTTCAGTAATAGCTGAATTGTAAATGGTAATTTTATCCTAAGTGCTGAAAAACTTCAGTATAAAGACAGCATAACTATCAAAAAAATAATAAAAATGAGCTGCTAAGCTAAGAGTTAATATATATATATATCAGGATCTAATTAGATGACTTAATCAAAGCGACAATATCTATAAGCATATTATCATTTATATTGCAACACAATATTGAGGAATAACCAACTCTTTATCAGCAAACCACATTTTGTAATTAATTTTTTTAAAAATTCATTAGTGAACCTAGTGAAAAAATAAAAATTTAAGATGTTCTTTTAAAATTAATTTCACAATGTTTGCTCAGTACTCATTTCTTGTTATAAAATAAATTTTTTTATTTGTCTGATACTTAAAAGAAAAGGCTCACTTGTTACATATTTTTAAACTTTTATTCAAAGTCATGAAGCTTAACTTATATGCTGATATTTTAGGAGTAACTTGTGAGTGCAAACAAGTTAACACCACGCTTAATATCTTTTGATAGAAATCAGAATAGTACCTAATATTTTTGGACATACCAAATTATAATTCAGTTTTATATTTAACTGCTAGATTTAATTAAATTTATGTAGTTACCTCATTAAAAAAAACACTAAAATTTCCTGGTATTAAAACAAATCTAACTTTACTTAAAGTATAGAATAGCATTCCCCACTATTAAGAGGACTTGAATTCAACGAAATGCTTTGTTAACTATTCCCTGATATTTTCAAAAGATTTTTCTAAATTCATTAAAATGCAATAAACACATTTTCCCACAAACTCAAGAAGAAAATAAGAAGTTTCAAAGCAATATATTTTTGGATGCATTTAAAACAATCCCAGTACTGTGTCAGTCATACTTCAACTAGAAATGAGGAAATTGTGCCATGTCACAGTCACATAGTGCACTAGTGTAAACATACATATTTAAAGCACTATTAATGTAGATAAAATATTAGTAAAATATACACTTATAATTAGCAAGAACCGAAAAATTCATTTGAAAAAATTCATTTGATTACAAAAAATAAAGCAATAGCAATCAAAGATAAAAATATTTTGCTCAAATATTTTGGCAGCAAACTTAGAGAAGAGGAAGTAAACTCAATACAAACATTTTAATATAGCATATTCAGCAATAATATTTCATTGTTTTTGAGAAATTATTTTTTACAACAAATAATCAAAAATAGTAGTGTTTGTTCATCTTACTTGCATATATGCAGACTGGTGTGGAAGTGAACTAGTACTAGCTTTCCTCGATGCTCTAAAAGTAGGGCGACTTTTTTCTCTGGTACTTCCTGAATACCATCCCCTCGAAAAGAAAGACTTCCATCCTGAAGGAGATTTCTTTAACTTTGGTAAACCTGGTTTGCTGAAATTTTAAATTTAAATTATTCATTCATATTTTAAGCAATTTATTTTCATTACTCACTTTAGTTGACATTATAAAAGATTTGATCAAAAAACAATTTAATAAAATGAAGAAATGAAGTCAATAAAATAAAAAATTATTTTAACAAAGATTAAAAAGTGTTAAAAAAAAAACACCATAAATTTCTTACTACATTTTTTTGTACAAATCTATTTTAAATATTTTTTTGCTTTGTTTTCAATGGCTTTTGTTCAGGGAAAATAGGGCAATTGACAGCTTGCTATGACAAAAAAATATTTTATCACTATTGATTAATTAAAACATAAATAATGATTAGTTTAGAAATCGTGAGATACCAAAAAAACACAGAGCCTACATAAAAATTAAATTGAAAGTTTTTAGATTTGTTTTTGTAGTAAACTTGAAAACTTTAATTACTTTTTTTCCCTAAAATTAGATATAATTTGCATGCTAAAACATTATTGCTTAAAATCTGCCAGACATTGAAAGTTATGATATAAAATAGCACTAATATATGTTAGACAACTAAGTGTTAATGAAATAAAATTAATTAAATTATTCAACATTTTATTCTAATTAAAACTCTGAAAATCTAGTAGGCACCTTAAAGAAAAACAATTGAGAGACAAATTGTAGGTTTAAATAATAAAGTTCATTTCCTATAATTTGCACATTCAATTAAATAAATATGTATACAAAAAATAGAAATATAAACAAATAATCTATGATCAATGATCGGAAATACAGAAACTAGTGTAGTCCCCAATTTTTTTCTTAGTTTGTAGTGTAGTGTAGTACTCTTATAAAAAAGTAATACAGCAATACAAAAAGCAATACAAAAAACAGTAGTTAGTAGCAATTTCTGAAAACTACTTTTAACATTAGTATAGTTAAGAAACAAGTTTCAAAAAACTATTTTTTTGATTGGTTCATATCTATTCGCATTTTTGCCAATGTTTGCAATTTGAATGTCTTGTGACCAAACGTCGATAAAAATTATGTATTACTTATCAATATTTTAACTAGCCATTAAAAATAAGTAATTTATTATTTTGGCTACATCTCCTACTGCATGCTTATGAAATATAGATGTTATTTCAGTGGAAGGAAACATATTTCACTCAGTAATTTTTTAGGCATAGAGGAAATAAAATAGCATTTAACAATTAACAAAATATTTGATAATTTTCTAGCATTTCTTAAATAAAATATTGGCATTTGAAAAAGGTATAAAAAATTTAAAGTAAAAAAAAAAAATGGTTTTGAATAACAAATTGGCTAATGCAATCATAAAGAAATAATTACTCATGTTTAAATAAACTATATTTTTTATTCAAAACAATTTTGAACATAAATGTAAATTAGGTTCTCGAATTATGTTTGTCTCCTAGAAGTAGTGAAGTAGTAACTTCATTTCAAAAGTCATTTATAGTAAGTAGTTATAAGATTATAAGAGGTAGTTGTTAACTTTATTTGTAATAGAATAGTTAGAAACCGCTATTACCAGAACTACAAGAATCAATATTTTGATAACCGTCGATTAAATTTAAGATATGTAATACAATATCCTATCCTACTAGTCCAATTAAAATGTGTTTCCAGAAAAAAAAATTAAAGTGCAAGAAGCATTTTTATCAATTTTAAACTTACCCAGGTAGATCTATAACTGTATGATATTTAGAAGGCAATTTATCAGGACCTCCACCAACTTCAATGTATTTTTGCTGAGTAGGAGGAAGATGAGTAGAAAGTACTCTAGCTCTTGCTTCTTCTAATGATAATAATTTAGTAGGAGTAGAGATTGCTAAAGATTTAGGTCGAGCACGAAGTAAACCTAAGAATGCAAAATTGTATAACAGTAAGAAAAAAATTTTTGTAACAAATACTTTGACAGACAGTAAATTGATACACTATTTTATAATGGAACTTTTTAAAACGTTAATTCCAAATAATAATAATAAAGAAACAAAGGATTTTTTGTTTTATTTACCTTCTTGTTCAGAACCAGAGAGCAGAGAAACTTTTTCATCAAATATTAAATCAGAAAATCTAATTAAATATTCTGTCAAAACAGCTTGTACTCCTACAACATGTAAAGCTCCAACTCCTCCATTTTCAACATCCCGCGATCTGTTGGAAAAAAGAAGAAAAAATAAACTTATGATAATACTAATTTTTATTTAAAATTTATTTCAAATAATTCATGCAAAAGTTAATCATATGAATAAACTAAATAAAATAGATAAACTTACCATTGGATAAAGAGAGTTATTTATATAGTTTAGGAACATTTGATCAAAAATAAAATTAACTAACTGTGTGTATTTTCTTTTTTTATGTTAAAAAACTTAAAACTGTAGAAAATAATATGAAAAATATAAAAAAGTTCCTCATTCATTATTTGCTCCCTGGAATAAAGCCTTTAAAAAAAACTTACACTCCAATTACAAATTGTCCAATTTTACCAATTAAGAAATCTTTTATATACAAATTTCAAACTTGTCAATGTCTTTTCATATTACATTTAAAAAAAATTATTGAAAATTATATAAATCATTCAAACTTACTAAATTAAGACAAGGGAGTGTTAGAGCACTATCTAAATAACATTTTTAAAAACAAAAATTATGTTTTATACTGTAAAACCTCTCAAGAGCGACCACTCTCAGTTCCACAGTAAAATGGTCGCTGCTGGAGGTTGGTCGCTCTTAGAGGTCTCTCACATTAATTTTAATTGTGATCGAAGGTACATGATTTTTCGGCAAATGATTTTTATTTTAGTCAATGTCATTTTCCTGGTGTGGAAGTGCCACTTCTATTGGCATCGCGAAAAGATGGATCTCTGTATAAAATTTAGCATCTGTAAAAATGACCCCAAAAATATAATTACGCAAGAAAACAAATTAACCAATTATGAATGATAAAACTATCTTAAAGAAATAAACAATTATGTTTTTGTTTAAATTTGCATTTAATTTTATATCATAAAAATTAGTTCGCTTTAAAAGATGAGGTTTGTTTGTTTGAAATGCATGTTTATTTCTAAAGTAGTTTTTCTTTTCTAAATATAAATAACTTTCAACTCTAAAAGATAACCGTTGGTAGCATCGTCTTTGATACACAAGGTTGACTGAAACATAAGGTTGTATAGTAAACAAGGGCTCTCTAAATAAAAGTCTCACACAAATATTTTGAGTACATTTTAATCTACTTATTTGTTTAGTTAAATTTTTTGTTTCGATATTTTTCGTACTTCCTAATTTGACTTTTTCCGCATTTGGTGCAGATGTATGCCCAGTCGCTGGGAAAGGTTTTAATGGTATAAAAACCTAATGGACCTTAGTGGACAGATATTAAATAAAATAATAAAAAATAACAAATAATTACTAAAAATTATATTTTGCATAGAATTACTTTTGAATAAACAAATTTTATAATTGTGTGCAAAAAATTTTCAATTTGCTTAAAAAGTTCTCAAGATATAGCAAAATATGCGAAAAGTAAAATTACATTAAGGGGTCAAAACTGCGCAGCGCTCTCCTAACCAAACTACGGAGACCGTGTTTCCCAGACTGCGACTAGCCCTTATATTTTTGGGGTCAGAAATCTGAATCCGTCGAGGAAAAAAATATGTTTATTCCGAGAAAGTATGTTTATGTGTCCAATTTCCTCATTTAAAATATCAGCATATTCAAGGTTATCCCCTCAAACCATTAAGATTGAGTCCCAGAGCATAAAGATCAGATCCTTAGATTAAAAGTTATTCAGTGTGGTCTCTTTTTTTTTTTCTGTGCAATGTACATTTGCATTGTGATTTTCACTAAAACCAAAATTTTTCTTAAATAGAGAGTCTATACCTGAGAAGATTGGGAGCCCATACGATTGCTATATTCTTGGGTGTCATGCCAGTTTCTTCACCATGTGCAGCAACCCTAGTTAAGTGGCTTAACAGATATTGTAGAGTCCTGAAATGAGGTGGAGGCAACTGCTGTACAACATCACGAACCCTTAACAGTCTCACATCTTCAGATGACTGCACTGCACTCTGAAATTATACATTATGTATAACAAATACCAAACTTTTAAATAACAAAGAAATAATGCATGCTTCATAGCACTTAATGAAGCAAGAGAAGCCTTCAATTCGTAATTTAAAAATTCTAAGATATGATTACTGCATAGTTGATTGAATTTGATCATTTTTAAATTCAGACGAAAGAGCAAGGTTATGATTTCACCCCAACCAGAAAAAAACTGGGCAAGTCCTGAAAATTGCATTTTATCATTAACAAATCAGTTCTAAATAATATTTATATAATAGAATAAAATACAAACTCTACACATTGAAATATTTCTATTTTACTGTGCTTTAAAATTTTTAATTAACCAGCCTAAAAACACATACAATTAAAAATTAATATAAATAATGTACAAAGGAATTCTCACAAAAATTTGAGATATTAATTCACAATAAAATTGAAACTGTGGTAATAACAACATGCAATATATAATATTTTTAGACCTGTTTGTCTAGCTGCATTCAATTTCAAATGAAAACATAGCTAAATTAATACAATTAAATTAAGACTATAAGAAATAATTAAAATAATGAAAAAACTTAATTAACTTTTAAAAAAAACTCAATAAAACCTGGAAAAAAAACCAGTGGGATGGGCTTTTTCCAGAAAAAATCATGGTTATTTATAACCCTGTGAAAAAGGCAAATCAATTGTGAAACTACAGAACTCTGCACAATTTGTTATAGCATTCACTGAAAATAATAAATTAGGGTATGATTCATCAACATTAAAGCTTGGTTAAGTAAAATTACAAATTGAGTTTATTTTTCCTAAAGTGACTGGATTTCCAAAAATTTTGAAACCATTAATATTGCGGGTAAAGCTACATGCCTGGAATGTGTATATAACTAGCAGATACTTCCTAAGATTAAGCCAAACATCACACAATCATTACTAGCATCATTAACTAAACTAAAAAGATGATGAATTAAAAATTTAAATCTCTTGATTCTTCAAATTAGATATTTTAAAATCTTCATTTATATTTGCAGAAAAGGGGATGTTCTAAACATGCACAAATCAAAAATTTAAGGAAAAAAATCTGAAAATCTGGACTAATAAAGACAAAATATTTTTATCTGGAAAATAATACTATAAACCTTAAAACTTTTAGAAATTTTCAAACCAGAAAACTGCTATTACATATAATTACTAAAATTATTATTTCAGAATAAAAAAATCATTAAAATTATTCTTCTGAATAATAGTTTTAAAATCTTTAAACAAAAGCAATTTTATTTGATTAAAAATAATTATAATTCAGTTCTTTACTACTTTGCTGCCTGACCAAGTTTGTAAAAAAATTTCTCTCATTATCTATTAATAGCCTGGTAGGATATAAAGTTAAATGTAAAAAAACAAAATATCATAATGTCTAAATTTAAGGAAAAAAACATTTTTGCTGCAGTTAAATTAAAATGCATATTTATCATTGCTTAACAACCTACCACAAATTTATCATAGAGCTGATATGTTAAGAGAGGATTAGGCAATTCTCTGAAATACATCTTTAGTAAAGATGCAACTGAATGAATGTCGTGAACTGTTGAAGGGTCACCTAAATTGATAGATCGATCTTCATCAAATGCAAGCCTGAAAGAAATGATATTTTTATTTCATTACAACAGTTACCAAAATAGCTTAAAAAATAACATTAAAACTTATGCAATAAAATAATTTGGGGATATAAAGAATTCAAATTTTTAAAGAATATTCCATTTCTTTAAGAAAGATCAACTTTGATACTAAATTTATAATATATAAAATTTACAACTTAGTTATATTAATATTAAAATATTTTTAAAAAATCAAAAATTTATTCTTAAACTCAATTACTAAAACAAGTTAAGTAAAAGTTAGTGTAAGACAAACACATATAAAACAATTAAAAACATAAACTTCGCTTCAGAAACAAGATGGAATATTTATTTAAATTATATGCAAAGTTTAGATAATCAGAGCCAAGATGTTGGTTTTCCGGAAAGTTTCAAAACAGAAAATTTTCTTTGAAATTTTCCAGATAATTTTTTACGCTGTTAAATTAATAAGGTTGAACTCTCATTCATAAAAAACAAATGTAAAAAAAGTAAAGTAATCTTATGAGTTTTTCTTTTCCAAATAGCAAAATCAATATAAAAACATAGAAATCATAGTTTGTAAGTGTTTAATTGTGATAAAAGCTGAAAAGGTATAATTCCGTTTCAACTCTATGCAACTATCAGTGATTCCTTTCACACAAGGCATCAAATTGACCAAACAATATCAAAAATGTATTGAAATACAACATGAAATTTAGAGAGGAAAAAATGATTAATTAAAGAATTACCTCAGACGTTGAATATTTGAGCTCACACCAGATAAACGATATATACCATCAACTATGCCATATTCTTCAATAAATTCAGCACAACATTTCAAAACCATGGGTACTAAAAATACAAAATGCAAATCTTCTATATAAGCTCTAAATTAGATAAATAAATTATGAAAATTTGACAACATAGTCAAAATGCAAACTTTATCAACGTTTATGTATGCATAACGAAAATGCATAAGCTATAAACTATGCAGAATCTGTTTTATCAATGTTAAATTACATAACTTATTAATAAAACAATCTTAAAAAGTAATTAATACAATTTCAAGAAACCTTACTAACTATAAAAATAAAGGGGAAAAATTAAGTTAAATTAGAAAAAAAAATCATTTATTTTGCAGATGACATCTTTATATTAATTTCTTATCTGAAATATGAATACTAAACATAACAAAAATCAAAGAAAAACTCAAAACACCTAAATATACCTCATAAAAACACCTAAAAAATAAGTAATTCATTTACATTTTTTTATTAATTCAATTATAAAATACGCACAATTTCATAATGCAATTATAAAATACGAGGAAAACAAAGGCTTTTCACCAAAATAAATAACTAACAAAACTAAGATGAATATACATAATAAAATAATATATATATATATATATATATATAAAAATCAATATTAGTAACTCTAGAAAATTATTTAAAATGAGATACTTAAACGCTAACATATGAAAAAAATATACTTACTATCCCTTCCTGTATTTAATAAATGTTCACCAAGATCACAACCAAAAACCCTTTCTTTTAAGATTCCACTCTGTTTAAGTTTTCTTCGCGAAGGACGAGAAAGCAAAAAGGATCGAAAAAATGCAATGAGCTTTCCATGTCGTCTGAATACTAACAAGAGAAAAAGAAATTAATGTCTATGAAGAAGAAAATAAAATATTTATTTTGTTAAAAAGCATTAAAAGGCTTACCAGGTTTGGTAGATGCATTTGATAGCTTAAATGTATGTGGTACTTTATCTCCTATAACTTCAACACATTCAGAAGGAAAAAATCCCACCTACAATTTAAATAAAAGATTTCATTACAAATATATTATAACCTGATACACAGATGATTTATTACACACAATGGCATGAACAAATATATGTTTTGAAATAAAATATAGGAAACTGATTATCTATAATAAACAAAAAAATTAACATTGATATTTAATTTTTTTTTAAAAATATTAGATAATGGAAATAATTAGAAAATTTTTACAATATTAAAGCAATGGAAGAAGAAATACTTTTGATGCAATTTTTCAGATATCCATGCATTGACTCTTTCATGACTTGACATTAAGAAAAAACTTAGAAGCTTGCCTAATTGGCACAAAAACAGACTGCTAACATAAGAATCTCTTCTTATAAGTGAAATCTCATCTTATAAAGAGAAATTTTTTATGGCAAGGTAAAATGGGTAATGTGACAATCTGAGACGATATTAAATTACCAGCCTATAACTTTTCTTAAAGTATTCTTTAATACAACTCAAATTATGCTTAAATTAGTGTTTAGAAAGCAGTTAAATATTATTAGATTCCACACATGGTTAAGATAAATGTTGTCACTATGTTACTTTTTTTAAAGTTAAATTATTTAAATTATTCCTTTAGCAAACAAAGAAAAAAAGTTTAACTTCTCTTTTAAAAAAAATCTTTGGCTTGAATTATTTTTGATGCTATTCATATTATTTCCGAAACTGTCACTTAGTATCATTTGACAAAATTGTTTCACAATATAGCAGACATAAATAAATTTATTTGTTTTAAGGTTGATATGGTAAATAATGTAAATATGATTCTAGGATAAAATTTCTAAATAATAAATATATTTTGAACCATTTTAATTTGCTCAGTAAGCTAGCATTTGCTATTCTGATACCCATGTTGTAAAAGTCATGAGAAAAAGCTTATGGTTTAAACATAAACACTACTGATTATAAAGAAAATCAAAATTCAGATTTTTCAACAACAAAAATAATTTTTAAAAAAAAAGTTATAAGCAATTTTTTTAAGAAAATATTTATACTCAGCAATTATAAAAAATTATATTTTGATACATTGCTCTTTATTTTATGCCTCTCAAAAAAAATAATAATCACCTGCACATTATCAATTTTTCTAATTTAAGAAAACTATAAATAAAAAAAATTTAAAACAATAAAAAAAATTATAAGAAAAATAAATAATGAAATTTTTTATTAATTTATTGCAATTTTAGATTTGATTTTAATAATAACTCATTTCTTAAGGATAGCAATGACATAAAGGCATTAAGATCCATCAATACTCTTAATTGAAATTAATGGGCAATAATAGTGTGATGAGCATTATGTGGAAGTGGATGATTCTCTCATTTTTTTCAAACCAGAGAGTTGCTAAAGTTCATCATAAGGTGCTTTTGGATACATCAGACTTTTTTTGTGACACCCAAATACAACATCATGAGGGGCTACTGTACTAATATATATAACTTAACAATAAGATAGCCTTTTGCTGCATAAGTTTTTAAGCATACAAAAAAAAATTGTTGTTACTGAAAAAAAAATATATTACTATTAGGGAGAATATACAGAAATCTATAAAAAAAAGTAAAATTTGTGTCAAAAATACAAAGCTTGAGAGATAGATAGCTTTATAAAGTATTACAAATTATCAACAAAATATAGAATGAAAAATATTGAAATTAAAAACAGAATCTTACCTCAAATCCTTTTTTACCTCTCCACCAAGAAGACTCCTCAGGAGGAGGCATATCAATCACAGATATCATATCACCCACCTGAAGAAGAAAAATACATTGTTTTTATTAAATTTTAATGAAACCTTCAGTCAGAGTATAAAAATCATTCAATTAATGCCAGATGATTCAAATGTTTGATTTATCTTCTCATATGTAATAAATATTATAAGATAATTTCTTAATTAAAAATTAAAGTAAATAATTTTTAAATGATTTCCTTTCACTGAATAAAATTGCACAATTTTCTTCAGTGATACAATTAATTCATCAACAGTCCAGAAGTAAATTCTTCAAAATGATGCAATTATTGACAGATGAAACATAAAAAAAAACTCTTTGAATAAAACATTCCATTTTTTCACAAATATAAAATTAAGCTTTTTAAATTATCGCATTTATTATTTTTATCAATTGCTTAATAATAAAATAAATTTTTCTATCTTCAGAGCATAAATTGGAGATATTGTTCCATAAACATAATAATAGTTTTCATTTACATAACAAGAGAAAATAAAGTGTTTTTTTTTTAATTATTATTCATCAAAAAATATTATTAAATAACGTTTTGCATACTTACAAAAAAAAATTTTAAACTATATTGCACAATAAGGATGATCACAAGCTAGCTAATCCGGCTTCATGACATACGTAACATAGGGTCAAAATAGTCAAACCATTGATGCACAATAATATCACTAAACACAATCAGGGGGTTTGTTTTTAGAAAAATGCTTTAAAAATCCACTTGGCCTTATTTAAAAACATTAGAAGAACGTGGCAAGGTAAAGCTATCGCCGTGAAACAGCGGAAAACCCAGCCCATTGCTGAAAATTTCAGCAGACATCATTGCACCGATATAACTTAGATGATCGGAACTGATCGGCTCAGCGATAAGAACGAACGATTTAATGGTAACCATTATGCGAAATGAAATTTTTTTTTCTTCTTAATCGGATTAGATGGGGAGCAAAACGATTCTACGCGCTAATCAACACGCGACGTACAAGGAGGACATAAAATATACACACAACACAAACAGGGTTGCATTTTTTGAGCGAAGAGATGGGTGATATTTCATGGTCAAAAGAACTCGCCAAGTGTGCCAAATGTAAGCGTTACGCAATACTTTCTACTTATCATTTTTGACAAGTGACGGGCTGTGACTTCCAGAATGAGGTCTTATTCTCCAGTTATGGAAATATAAAAAAAATTATCATAGAAACAATTCTCAACCAGTCGTCATATTGAATAAAAAGTGAACTAAATATATAAAATTATTTTATGCATTAAAATCATTAAATACATAATCAAAGTTTCATAATCAAAACGAATAAAATTTCATAATTAAAAAAAAACGATTGTAAGTTGAATTTTTGAATAAAATTAAAACAAACTGACTAATATAGCACAAATGATTAAAGATCAAATTAAAATATAGATTTAATTTTATTACTGTTCGACCTAATTGAATTTTTGTTGACACCTGAATCCAAAAAAAAAAAAAAATCGATATCACCCATTTTACTAATTTTTTTTTTATCAAACTTGAATGGATAGAAATTTCCAGTGGTTATTCTTATTTCGTATAATTTGTAATATTAGCTGTTAGTACCCTTATATCACATTTATAGATACTTTCAACTTCAGTACAATGATCGATCGCCAAGATGACGTCTTCATTATCATGAAAAAATCATTTCACAACTACGATTAACCAATAAAAAAGAGCAATTTATAAAAGTTCATCTACTACTACTGAATAAGAAATGTCGCGAATACCTATGAAACATTACCTACAAAAAGTTTTATTCAATTCATGTTTGAAGGAGTAAGCAAAAGGGGCGGGCAATCGCCCGGAGCGTTAGGTTGGGGGGGGGGAGACTCAGATTTAATGTTTAGTGAAAAATTTTATTCCATCCTTCTTTTTGCTAATATTGTTAGCTTGAAAAATATATTTATAGGTTTTTATTTTTTTAATTATAGTATATTCTTTTATTAACTTTCTTTATAGTTAAAGCTCAATGATTAAAAAAAAATGATCAAAAAACATTTTATTAAAAATGGGAGGATCAGCGAGTCAACAATAAATAGCTGTTAATTTGTTTTTGGGCATTAAAGAAATTTTAGTGAATAATCGGACCAGTGAATGAATTTATAAATGAATAAAAATTTTGATAAACCTATAAATTATTTGACGGCAGTTAACGACAACCATTTTTCCTTTTTAAAATAATTTATTACAAAATGAAGACATATTAAATGCAAAAGCAGGACAATAATTTTTAGCGAAAATGCAACCATAAAAATAATTACGCTGGTTTAAATGTACAGATATGTAAAATAAAATGGTGATTGAAACGTAGAAACCTTTGAAAAGTGGAAACAAATCCTGGTTACCGGATCGGCACGGAACCTGTAAAATCGCAGCTGGTATTCAATATTATTAGAAAATTTTCAAATTTTTATTTTAAAATTTTCAAAAGCATGTTACGAAACTTTCCATTCCATAACAAGCCGGTTATTAGACATAATGTATTTTGCAGATCCTTGTATTTAACAATTAATGTAAAAAGTTAGTTATGAAATAAGAAAATATTGGAAAAATAATACTCGCGAATGTAATATATATAGAACTTGATTAAACTTTCGTTATTTATTCAGAAAACTACAACAGTAATCCAAAAAGGACAATATAGTTACCAATTTCAAATTCCGAAAAAAAAATTTCGATGATATAAAAACATTTTAAAATATGAAATTTTAAATATAGAATTAACACTTAAAAAAATTTCAATTCATCAATCAAGACACATCAATTTAAAACTTAAAAAGAAAAGTCAGGAAGCAAGATCTGATCGCGTTTTTTAACAGAAATCGTTAAAAATTCATAGAACAATTAAAGGAAAGTAATTAAAATGTGTCTGTTTCTCTACAAAACTACCCTAGGTTCATTAGCCTCAAGCCATTTTCTAACAAAAAATGTACTTATTCCAGAATCAAACAAGCACATATCTTTCACTCCCCCGATTGAACTATTTCATTTTCGAAGTGAATTTTTCCCCTTAATGTCTGCAACGTCTCAAAGCTTCCCGCTCTTTTATCATAACTTCCGGCTAACTTAAGTTAGTGAGTTTATCGGCTGTTTGAAGAAAACAAGTGGGAACTTTGTTAACACACACGACCTTGCTTTCTTTTTGCCCCATCAAGTATCTTTTTTTTCTTCTTTTTTTTCCGGAGAATTCCTAATTGACTCGCAAGAGAAAGAAAAATGACTCAACATCAAGCTAGACACATTTATGTCAGAAGCTAGTAAAAAAAAAAAAAGTGCTTTAAAATTTTAAAAAAATCAAACACCAAATATTTTAGGGACTTATTGAATAATATTTTTAATGATTGAGTAAGCTTTATTCAGTAAACTTTATTTATTTTTTTCCAAAGAATTCCTAATTGACTAGCATCAACAAAAAAAAAAAAAAAAAAAAAAAAAAAAAAAATAACAACATCGAACTAGCAGCATATTTCAGCAGCTACTAAAAAAAGTGTGTCAAAATTTTAAAAAAATTTAACAATATTTTAGAGACTTATAGAAGAATAATTTTAATGATTAAGTCGATTTCATTTATAAATTTATCATTATTATCCACTATCGATTTTATTATATAAATCAACACTAGAAAGACTGAAACTTAATATATTATTATTAGTTCAAAATTAATTTTTAATATTTTTTACATTATTTACAGTTATATAACAAGCTATTAGTAAATATTAACAATAAAAAAATTATATGTTGTATAAAAAGTCACAAAATTCTAAGAAATTGTGTCATTATATGCATAATTCTTCTTCTAATTGTAATTAAAAAGCAGTCAAAATGATTTCCTTGTGCAATCTAGTGTTAAGGAATAGGATCCCTATAATCTAAATAGATTTTATTAATTGCGAGCGTTAAATTTGATACCAATATTACGTAATAAATTAAACTATGCACAATGATTGGAGAAACGATTTCGAAGTTTTAAAGCAGTAATTTTATTTCAAACATTTCGTAATAATTAAAATAAAATTACTGCTTTAAACATTAATTTTAACATATCGCTTTAAAAATAATGCAATTGTATTATTGAACTCATTTCAGCATTATTGCGCTTAATTTCGTGCCCTTCTCTACCAATGAAAGTTGTACAGAAGCAGCTAAAACAATTAAATTAATTATGCAATTAACATTTTCCGAAAATATTTCAGTATTTGAAAATAATGCGTATCACACACAGTATATTTCGATTGAGCCAAAAGTATATACCTCGTGATACGGTAATTAATTTATTTTATTTATTATTATATTAAGCATTTAATAAAATTCAAATGTTTGAAGTAAATAGTGAAAAGTTCAATTTTCCTCGACCAAATCAAAGCAAATAGAATATCAATAAGTTTAAGTAAAATATGCACTTGACATAAAAAACACATTATTAAAACCACAAATACTAAATATAAGATATAAAAATAAAATACAAATTTTACGGAGCTTATAACATAGTTCCGGGTGATAATCCTAAGCAATACACTAAGTTTGAAATGCGTTTTAGTAACAATATAAATAAATTTCGTAAAGTTTCAATAAACTGCTGCTAACACAACTAAAAAATAAAGATTTATTGAATCTTAAGAACAGTTAATAAATACACTCCCTTATTTAATCCGACAAAATGTGAACTTGCTAGAGTATAACCCGTGAACGTGAAAACGTGTTTGCATTTATATGTATAATACGCAACACTCTGAAAGAGAAAAACTATTTTGTTATCCTAAGGAGTTACGGAAAGAATTAAAAATAAATGTCTAAAGAAAAAAATAATAACCACTATCTTTAAGCTTTCATTTAAAAAAAAATTATAAATTAACTTTTGCAAGTTGAAACTTGGCAATAATAAGAAGAAATATATTTTAAAAAAATCTTTTATTTTTTAAAAAAATGCAAAATGGATCGTGTGTTTTATTAAAATGTCTTTTTATTAATTTAAATTGGAATTTTTTTT